TCAATAGGTTTTAAAAATGACTCTCTTCCCCCAAAAAATATATGTAAAAACAGAGATTTTTACACAAAACCAGTTATATAAATCAATTTTATTTTTCGGCGAATCTTTAAAAAAAAAATTACCATAACTACATTAAATATCCATTGAATGGTTATATATTAATTATTTGTGTTATTAACTAAACAATTATAAACCTACTCTCTTTATTATACACAAWCCGATATTACTTTAATGTTTTTATTTTCATAGATCAACAAAATCCAAACTGTTCTCGAATTTATTCTATTGTAATGTAGGTATACGTGATGGTTCAGATCACGGTTTCGAGACTTTTAACTTTATTTACGACCATGTTTGGTAATAGTTTATAAAAATGTATTTAGAAGTTAATACTTACCGACTACTTTGATCCGTTGCTACACGCAAACAAAACACCGAAATAATAATATTGTTGTAWAGGTATACTTTGGAAACTTTAATTATTTCAATTTGTGAACCTATATAGATACCTACCTAAAATTGAGTAACGAAGACCCTAAATTCAGCTGTAAGTWCATAACTAGTACTTTACTTACAGCTGGAATACAATAACTTTTCAAACACTTTTAATGGCATTATATGTTTGTGTGTGTGGGCTAGGGGGCGGTGTTAAGAGAACTATTATTGTCCCTTTGTTGAAATTCATTTTTTAATTTTTCAGTCTTAAATTCTATTGTTTTCTATAAGTACCACGGGCAAATGTAAACTTCCCTAAAAAATAAAATAGTAAATTCCCCTAAAACATTTTGCTACCGGTATTACACTTACGTAAACTCCCTTAAAAATATTTTGCTACTGTATTACACTTATGTAAACTCCCCTAAAAACATTACCGTATTACRTTTGTTAATTCTCCTGAAGAAGGTAATAAAGATAGACTGTTGTCAACTTTTTAATTTATTATTATTATTATTTTTTTTTAAAAATTAATAAACTATTCGCATATACATTACATATATATAGATAGATAGATAAGAGTGAGTTTACGTATAGGTAATTTATTATTAAGGCAACTAATTTGTACACTTTATGGGAAAATACAGTATATTATCTAGAATCTAGATTGTACTCTTATAAAACTAATAATATATAGTAATAAAGATAACTGGGTCTAACTATTTTCCCATCTCGGTCAGTCACACACCATAGACGTTAGTAGTTGATCTATATTCTATAATACATTTTTAACATCGTTTTAGTTTCGTGTGATATTTTTCATTTATTTATTAATTAGTAGTTATGTCAGARATCCAATTTATTACGTAATTTTAGGGGAGTTTACATGTGCCCAGTACCACGTATACGTAGTACCGATTAGTAGGTTTAATAAAATCTGTTTAGACGGTAACGCAAAAACTGTGGTGGTAAAATACCGTTTCGACTCWACGGAAAAAATACTTCGGTGATGTGACCAAGCTTTAGAGTACAGATAATGATCCCCATATAGTGTGCAAGTACTTAGTCAAACTGGATGCCAGTGCTAGTTTTCCAGAACTTATATGACGTAGTATACTGGCTAACATTTCAGCTAATACTACGCCTAAGAATATGTTTGAAATTAGCTCTCCGAAGCGTGCGTAGCAAGTACTTAATCACGGTATCGATTCATTTTTAGTGTAAAACAATATAGTATTATGTGTTCAAACTCTGTTTACAATCTTCCGCGTGAGTTACYTTCCGATAAATCGTAGTCAAAAATCCTTGCTGCGACACCACGAAATGAATAATACAGTTTGTAAGAGAATACGGTGTGTACGTCACGAAATAGTACGTGTAAAATCTACGATCGGGACTACAACAATCAAAATGGATGAAACTATAATAGCAAGTACGAATGACGAGGAGAGCATAAAGAGGGAGAGAAGG